GGTCATAGCAGGGCTGAGGGCGAATCCCAGGGTCATGGGCAGGTCTGGGGGTCCCAGGGTCATGGCAGGGCTGGGGGTGGATCCCAGGGTCATGGCGAAGGCCAGGACCAGGCTGAGCCTGCTCTCCATCTCTCTCCTTCTTCCCAGCCGCAATCTCTTGGGGAAGACAGGGAACTGGCTGGAGATGAGTAAGCCGGCAGCTGGAGAAGGGAGCACAGGGTTGGGAGCTCAGGCAGGGGCAAGGGTGTGAGTGGGGGTCCCTGTGGGCCACTATGCAGAGGAGACGGGAGGCGGGAAGGGCGGGCTGAGCCCCTTTGGGTGGGAGCCTCAGCCTCCATCCCGGGACACTCCCACCTGTGTCTGGCCCTCCCCACCACGGCTGAGCCCAGTGGTCATGCCCTTCAACAGCTCCCTCCATCCTCAGGCAGCCTGCCAAGGACTCTCCACCCTTTGCAGCTCCCACCTGTCCTTCACATGTCACTCTCCAGGGCTTTCTCCACAGTGTCCCTTGTCCTTGCTGCCTGGCTCACCTGAACCCGGGTACCCCTCCCTGGAGCCTTCTCTGGATGCATGGGGCCCACACGTCCCTGTCACTGCTGTCTGCCTCCAGGGCTGTTGCCTGATTGCTGGACAGCTTGGGAGGCACCTTGGGTCCCTGGGCTTAGCCAGGGTGAGGGGTAGCTGGGTGGAAACAGGGAGCAGCCCTGCAGGTAGGATGGGGGGGTGGCTAAGGGCGGCCACGGGCCCCTGGACCCGGGCATTACGGCGCGCTCCTTGTACTCACGGCCAAGCCTGGAGGAAAGGAGCCTGTACTTGGTCCCCAGCAGCATCCAGACTACAGCTGTGAGCTGACCACCCGGGACATCACTGCGGTCCCCATGCGCCCAAGGCTCCAGACACTGCCTGTATCTGACATGTGCCCTCCAGGATGCACTGCTGGGTAACCAGCTGGGCTGCTCCCAGGAGGGGGCGTGTGAGCCCCTCCATCCTCGCCCAGGAGACCCCTCCCGCACGTGCAGCCATGGACATGGACTCCAACTGCTGCCCGCCTTCTCCAGGCTTCTTCTCCTATGGGGACCTTGTGGGGTAGCAGCCAGGTGTGACAGTGTGGACGAGGGAGGGATGGGAGGACATGCTACGCCTTACCTACCTGGAGGGCCCCCGGTGACGTCTGAAGGCCTCCCTGAGCCTTGCAGATGCTGTCTCTGGATTCCAAAGAGCTGACATTCCCCAAGGGGCCTCGAGGGGCCACCTGGTGAAGCCCATGTCAGTGCCACTCCTGGGCCACTGACCTCCCCCCGCTGTCTCCTCCACAGCAGGTGCCTCTATGACGGTGACGACTGGGACCTCCCGAGCCAGAGCCCCCAACCCCTGGAACCTCTGCCAGCCCACACACCTCCTTTTCCCCCTCCACCCCTCCCTTCCTTTCGTCCTCCATCAACCCTTCCATTCCACAAACATTCACCAAGGGTGTCACATGGTCCTTGGGGGCAGCCGACAGCCACAGGCACAAACAACCAAACAAGATCATTTTGGATATTGCTACGTTCTGGGAAGAAAATAACACACGGCAGCAAGACGGGCAGTCGGTGGGGGTGTATGGGGTTTGCTTTAGATGGGAGGAGCAGGGAAAGCCCTGCTGAGGAGGTGATGTTAGACTTGTGTTAGCTGAAATGTGCAGCTTTACCAGGAAAAGATAAGTTTTAAAGAAAAGAGAGGCTTTATTAAAAGATTTGCAAACCAGGGAAGTATACCTCAACCCTCGAGTGGATAGGTGACCCCCCGGGGGTGGCTGGTTAAAGGCAAAAAGTGCAGAGTGTGCACAGTTAAGGCTGAGTCTGGCTCTGAGGCCAGTCCTTCCAGCTACAGTGGATCTCGTGCCCGGGGCCCTCTAACTGTCCTCACTGGGGGGCAAGATGGCTGCATTGTTCTCCGGCCATCTGGTGACAGTCAAGGTTAAAACGTCATTTTTCATTTCTGCCCATAGTTCAGACTTGAGGTGGTCATGGTAACCATCACCTTGACTCTGGTCTTGTTCTCATCTCGCTTTTATCTCTTGAATGCCATGAAGAAGCCCACCACGTGACTGTCTGGGAGAGGAGTCTGCAGGGAGAGGCTGCCCCATGGCCAGGAGCAAGCTTGAAGCTCACTAGGAAAGGATGGCAGGGGGAGGGGACAGGCAGGTGGTCAGAAGAGGGAGAGAGCCAGAGGAAGGGGCTTTCAAGGGCCGCAGGGAGCCCTGAGGGTTTTCGGCAGGACCTGCAGCTTAAGCCATCCCTCAGGCCGCAGTGGAGAAGGGCCTCCCTGGGCCTCCCGACGGCACCAGGGGGTGGTTTCTGGCGCTGCCTCTTGGACAGTGAGCCACCCTTGGCCCTGACCGCCCGAAGCTCCCAGGAGACTGGCCAGTCACAAATGCTGCGATGCCAAAGGACCATTTTAGGCCGGCCCCGTGGCTTGGCGGTTAAGTGCGCGCGCTCCGCTACTGGCGGCCCGGGTTCGGATCCCGGGCGCGCACCGACGCACCGCTTCTCCGGCCATGCTGAGGCTGCGTCCCACATACAGCAACTAGAAGGATGTGCAACTATGACATACAACTATCTGCTGGGGCTTTGGGGAAAAAAAGGAGGAGGATTGGCAATAGATGTTAGCTCAGAGCTGGTCTTCCTCAAAAAAAAAAAAAAAAAAAAAAACAAAGGACCATTTTAGGGAAAACTCGCCCCCTCGCCGTGCCCCGGGACCCAGTCCCTGGCCTCACCCTGGGACCCATTCTGCCCCTGAGTCTGCCAGCCCGAGCCCACGCCCACAGCCCCTCTCTCTGCAGGGTGACTTGGCAGGGGGTCATACCAGTGTGTGCAGTCAAGGAGGCGTGGTAACAGAGGACTTCATCCTCTGCAGAAGGTTCTGTAGTCACCAAGTGCCCGCTGTCTCCCCAGCGTCTCCCTCTATGTGCCCCACATTGAGGATATTATCTGGAACCCTCTTCCCCCCAGCTCCAGGCAGGGACCCTGGCTCTGCCTGCCCTTGCCGCCGGCAGCTGATTCCCGCGACAGTCACCACCCAGGCCCTGCTGGGGGTGCCGCGGGGGCTGGGCCAAGACCCAGGGCTCCCACAGAGTGGATACTGCCTGAGAGTTCCAGGCTGTGGAGGGAGCCCCAGAAGCCAATGCTGGGAAACTCATCGCTCCATGAACCCCACCTCGGCCCTGGTGGTGTTCAGGACACCCAGAGGGGCACCGAGCAGGCACAGCCCTCCAGGGACCCCCATCTGGAGAGTCACTGCTCACAGAGACACTGGGATGGACAGCCTAGTGGTGTCTCTCCCACTTCGGCCATTTCCTCCCCCACAAAACCCCGGGGCAAAAAAGTTTGTGAAAGGCCCATTCAACTTTCAAGATTTAATCTGGAGGAAGGTGATGGGAGGGGCTGGGCCTGCTGCCAGGGGGCAGCCAGGGCAGGCTGGGACTAGCCTGCCTGCAGGCCCAGGGAGGACAAGACCCAAGGCCATCATTTCCCCAAGAAAGTGCTGTGAGGGAGCTTCTCTTCCTGGCTCAGCCCCACACTGCTAGGCCTCCAATGCGCACTCAAGGAGGACTCATCAGCGTGCCTTCGGGGAGGCCTGGCTGCGGGCCAGGTCCCTAGTCCTTCCTAGAGGAAGGAGTGGGTAGCAAAGGGGCAGCCAGAACCTCAGGGTTGCAGGCAAGAAAGGGATTGTTTGCGTGCGCTGGTGCCTGGGCCATCCCAAGGGGTGTGGTTGGGGGACCCAGCCCAGCAGGAGCTCAAAGCCGGGGCACTGTGAGGTGTGATGTTCCCCAACAGCCCTAGGACCCAGCGAGGGCGAGCTGGGAGAAGGTGGCGGCCAGGATTCCTGTCGCTCCCTCTCCCCCAGGGGGCGCCCCCAGCGGGCCCTGGAGCAGGCGGAAGCAGAGGGGGCGCCAAGTTAGCGGCCGGGAGAGGAGGCCATGGACGTGCGGGTCGGGGCGCTGCTGCTGGCGCAGCTGTTGGTGGGAGTCGAACTCGGGAGGCGGGGTGAGCTCAGGCGGGGGCTGCCGGCCGAGCGAGGGGTGTTGGGGGAGGGTGGAGCGCGTGGAGACCCAGGGGAGCTTACTTTCTCGCTTCCCCTCAGAGTTGAAGGATCAGGACGTGCTGTTTCCAGGTAAGGCACCCAGGACACGCGCTTCTCTGCGTAGGGCACCTGGGCCGGAGCACAAAGGGTGCCTCATCCTTTTCTCTTTCCCACTCCAGGTTTCGAGAACTCGTCGGTGCTCACATGTAACTGATGGGCCCCTGGGGGAAAGGGGCGGGCACCTGCGGACCACGTGGGGAGGGCTCCCAGCGTCCCCTTCGTAGGGTGACGACCCCAGCACGCGCGCGGTTTCCTGGGGAGCCCCTTCCTTTCGCGCACCCCAACGGGCGAGGGCACGCGGGGTGGGCCTGTTTCCTGCGGCTCAGCCGCGTGTCCGTCTGTCCGTCTCAGGGCCCTGTGGCCAACGGAACGTCCCGACACGCGTGGTGGGTGGAAAGGACTCGGTGCGCGGGCGCTGGCCGTGGATGGGCAGCCTGCGCCTATGGGGTTCCCATCACTGCGGAGCGAGCCTGCTCAGCCGCCGCTGGGTGCTCTCGGCCGCGCACTGCTTCCAAACGTGAGTCTGGGGCTGGTCGCCCGCTGACCGGGGGCTCCTGGGGCTGCACCGGGACCTGCGTGCACGCGGATGCGGCCCTCCTGTTCTCCTGAGTCCCAAGCCTGGGGGCAGCCGATTACACCCACAGGAGTTCCCATTAGTGCCCGTGGAGGGAACTCAGTTCAATTTCTTCCAAAACTTTCTTCCCAAACATTCTCGTGCACATTGGTCTCTTGTTCTTTTCTTTTCTCTCTTGTTTTCTGTTCTCTGCAAATGGCACCATCAGCCTTCACCTTCCTCATCCCACCTCCCAGTGGAGGTGCACCAGGGGTGGGAGGAATGAGCTGAGGTGGGTGAGTGCTGGGCACAGAGCCTGGCTGGGGGCAACAGGCACCATGGAAGCTGTTTTGATTCCACCCTGCTGAGTGTCCCCTTTGGCACCCAAGCATCTGCTCGTTGTTTTCTTAGGATGGCTTCTGGAGGTGAGGGGCTGGTTGAGAGACTGGCCAGATGAGAGAGAGGCAGAGGGAGGCACCCTCCTGCCCCCCCCCCACTGTCCCCAGGGTCTGGGACTTTGGTTGTGGCCTCTCCGGCCTCTCACCATTTCTCCACTGGAGGCTTTGGTCCCTAAGAGCTGCTAACGGCGTCCAGGCTGAGCCCCAATAGCAACCCCCGCAGTCTCACCTCATGGAGCCGGCCCAGATGTGCTGAGGTGGCCCACCCTCCTTTGAGGACCCCTGACCCCTCTCCTCTGCTGCCAGGAACAAGGATCCCTATGAGTGGACGGTCCAGTTTGGGGAGCTGTCTGCCGCGCCATCTATCTGGAACCTGCAGGCCTACTATAACCGGTATCAGGTGGAGGAGATCGTTTTGAGTCCCTCGTATCTGGGGCCTACAGCCTACGACATCGCCATGCTGAAGCTCTCCTCCTCCGTCACCTACAATAAGTACATCCGGCCCATCTGTGTCCTGGCCTCCTCTGCCGAGTTCCAGAACCGGACTGACTGCTGGGTGACCGGCTGGGGGGACATCCAAGAAGAACACAGTGAGGCCGGGGACAGACGGGGCTGGGGCAGGGGAGGGAGGCGTTACCCTTGTCCCCCTGTTCGGGCGGCACCAGCCACAGCAGCCCCCCCCTGGTCCGTGTATAGCTGGGCCCCTCCTTTGGCCGGCTCAGCATTCTCTCCTCACCTGCTTTCTGCTCCTGCTCCCCGCGAAACGGCAGGACCTCTGTACCCACGCTGAGTTCCTCTCCCTTCCAGAGACTGTGAGCCGGAAGCCAGGTGGAGAGGGAGGCCAGCTGGGCTCCAGACTGCACTCCCCAGCCTGCAGGGGTG